TACCGCGCGATGGAGGCTTTGGGAGCAGCAGCGAGCGCCATCGCGGTGGTCGAGCTCGCCGCAAAGGTCGGCGCACTTTGCCTACAGTACTCCCGCGACGTCAAAAGAGCCAAAGACGACATCGACCACTTTCGACAGCAAACGGAGGCTTTAAAGACAATCGCCGAAGGTGCGCAGCGGCTTTTGCAAGGTCCATATGGGCCTCGACTTGAAACTGCGCAAAAACTATATAGCGCCCTTACGAACGCCCGCTCGCAGCTCGATCCCATTCATACGAGGCTAGAAGAAAAGCTGGACACGGGTCGTGTGGGTCGGGTAAAAAGACGTCTCGGTCTGCTTGCCTGGCCGTTCGAAAGCAAGGATATCGAAAAGCTCATCGCTACCCTCAAACGGGACGGGGACACGATTTCCGCCGCACTCCAAGTCGATCTAACGTTCGTCACCCCACCCATCAGCCGCCGTTACGCAGCTAATTTTAAGTAATAGCACGCTTGCCCTCGACATTAACCGCAAACTCGTCCTTTCGAAACTTCCTATCGCGAAAGGCGCTGCATTCGATGCCCAGGCGAACGAACACGACCCTAGCTGCCACCCCAACACCCGCGTGAACCTTCTCGCCGACATTCACAAATGGATCGAGGATCCCAACGGAAAATGCATTTTCTGGCTGCGTGGCATGGCCGGCACCGGCAAGTCGACCATCTCTCGAACAGTGGCTGAAAAGCTTTTTGCGGCAAAGGTGCCCAGTGCGAGCTTCTTCTTTAAAAAAGGCGAAGGCGACCGCGGCAGCGCGGCCATATTCTTCACCACCATACTCGCCCAGCTCGTCCGCCAGGTACCGATCTTAGCATCACATGTCCAGAGCGCAATCGAAAACGATCCAACCATCGTCGATAAGAACAAGAAAGAGCAGTTCGAGAAGCTCTTCCTGGAGCTACTGGACAAGTGCAAGGGCGATATCCCGGGGCCGCTTGCCATTGTGGTCGACGCGCTTGACGAATGCGATCGGGAAGAGGACGCTACCGCCCTGGTTCGCCTTTTGTCCAAAGCAAAGGAAGCAACGTCGATCCGCATCCGATTTTTTGTCACCAGCAGACCCGAGCTGCCCATCCGCCTTGGCTTTAAGGACATCGACGGCAGCTACCAAGACCTCGCCCTCCATGAGATGCCCGAGCCCGATATAAAAAAGGACATTTCCACGTTTTTGCGGTCGGAATTGGCCGAAATCCGGCGCAAGTTTAACAAAACCATACTAGGGCCAGGTTTGCCATCTGATTGGCCTTCACCCACCAGTTTTGAAGATCTTGTCAACATGGCTGTGCCGCTCTTCATTCTCGCATCAACGGCTTGTCGCTTCATTGCCGATAGCAACTTCGGCGACCCTGGGAAGCAGCTAGACAAGATCCTCGAGTACAAGGGAAAGGGCGAATGGTCTCAGCTTTACGCGACGTATCTACCAATCCTGGACCGGCTTCTTTTCGAACGCAAGGATTTAAGGTTGGTTAAACGCACAAAGAAGGAACAAGCCGTTGTCGTTGCGTGGTTCCGCGACATCGTTGGAACTATTGTACTTCTTGCCGACCCCCTCCCTTGCGCATCGCTGGCACGTATCCTTAACAGAACCCAGCTCGACGTGGGCTCAAGGCTGCTCCAGTTGCATTCTGTCCTTAACATTCCGGATAACCCCCTGGTCCCTGTCAAACTGCTCCACCTGTCCTTTCGCGACTTCCTCGTCGACCAAGAAAATCGCGATGCGAACCCCTTCTGGGTCGACTCGCGAGAAACCCATAAGCAGCTGGCAGACCGCTGCCTCCAATTGCTGTCAACCGGCGACACCCTCAGGAGAGACGTTTGCAATCTGCGTCATCCCGGCACGTTCCGGCCCGAGATCAGCCCGCAGAATATTAATACCGCCTTACCGCCCGAGGTCCAGTATGCCTGTCGATACTGGGTCCATCACTGGAAGGAAAGCAGGCGGCAGATACGAGATGGCGATCCGGTCCACCTCTTTTTGACCGATCATCTCCTGTACTGGCTTGAAGCTCTGGGTGTAACGGGGCGAATCCGGGAAAGCTTTGACATGGCAAATTGCCTGCTGGATATGCTCGAGGTAAGTATTTCTACCATTTTAAATCAGTATTAAAAGCTTATTAACAAAGCTTTTAGCCGGAGAACAGCACCGCAATGTCAACGTTGCTTCACGACTTGCAGCGTTTTCTTTTAGCTAATGCTGCTGTTATCGACGCATCACCTCTCCAGATCTACCACTCAGCTCTTTTATTTGCGCCAAAAAGGAGTGTAATACGGATATTATGGCCTATCAAACTTGCTACCTGCGTTTCATTGCTATCACCAGTGGATTTGGATTGGAATGCGTGCTTGCAAACTCTCGAGGGGCACAACGGCTCGGTTTACTCCGTCGCATTCTCGCCCGACGGCCAGAGGCTCGCGTCGGCCTCCTTTGACGAAACCATTAAGCTTTGGGACGCGGCGACGGGCGCATGCGTAGCGACGCTTAAAGGGCACGACGACTCGGTTTTATCCGTCGCATTCTCGCCTAATGGCCAAAGGCTCGCGTCGGCCTCCCTCGACAAGACCGTTAAGCTTTGGGACGCGGCGACGGGCACGTGCCAAACGACATTCGAAGGGCATAGCAGCTCGGTTTTGTCCGTCGCATTCTCGCCTAATTGCCAAAGGCTCGCGTCGGCCTCCCTCGACAAGACCGTCAAGCTTTGGGACGCGGCGACAGGCGCATGTCAAACGACGCTCGAAGGGCACAGCAGCGACGTTATATGCGTTATATTCTCGCCCGACGGCCAGAGGCTCGCATCGGCCTCCCACGACAAAACCGTTAAGCTTTGGGACGCGGCGACGGGCGCATCCCTAACGACATTCGAAGGGCATAGCAGCTCGGTTTTGTCCGTCGCATTCTCGCCCGATAGCCAAATGCTTGCGTCGGTCTCCCACGAAAAGACCGTTAAGCTTTGGGACGTGGCGACGGACGCATACGTAACGACATTCGAAAGGCACAGCAGCGGCGTTATATGCGTTGTATTTTCGCCCGACGGCCAAAGGCTCGCGTCGGCCTCCTTTGACGAAACCGTCAAGCTTTGGGACGCGGCGACGGGCGCGTGCCAGACGACGCTCGAGGGGCACAGCAGCTGCGTTAGGTCCGTCGCATTCTCGCCCGACGGCCAGAGGCTCGTGTCGGCCTCTTACGACGGAACCGTCAAGCTCTGGGACGCGGCGACGGGCGCGTGCCTAACGACGCTCGAGGGGTCAACTTCCGCTGTCTCATTTGATGAAACAGGCTCGTACCTCCATACAGATTTTGGTACTAAATTGCTACACAAACAGCCAGCTGCTGGTCCAGCAGCAGTTCAAGCTCATTTACAACACCAAGATTCTGAGGGTATTGGCATCAGTGCTGATCGAGCATGGATTACGTGGAAAGGAGAGCATTTCTTGTGGCTGCCTACCGAATACCGTCCTGGTGGTTCTTGTTTAGCCATAGCAGGATTAACCATAGCCTTAGGCTGTTCATCCGGGAGGGTGTTGTTCTTCCAGTGGCCAGGAGCCTTTTGATAGAGAAAGTTTTCCTTGGGTTCAATCCTCTTTTTTCTTTTCTCTTTGCCCGTTCCCGGGTCGTAGGGGGCTGTACATGTTCATAGGTTGGTGCTGCTTTCAAAGAGTATATTGGAACCGTCTAGCGTTTTCCATTAACTTATAGTGGCGAACCTGTTTTGCCACAGCATGGCAGTACGCCGTAAATGTCACGAGCAGTAGGTCCTCACTAAATGGATTAATTAAATAGCGACCCACTGTGGCTTCCTAACACCCGATGCGAGGGCACCGGGATCGGTGGTGTGGGGCCACCGCTTCAAGGCGCACACCCACCCTACCGTATTTCCCCCTATAAAAAGCCCTCCACTAGATGGTAGCTGTATGCAGCAGTAAACCTTCCAACCAACCAGCCAGCCACCCACCTAGCTCTTGCCGACCAACTGGCTCTTGCCGACCAACTAGCTCTTGCCGGCAGTGGTCAATCCACCTGACTGCAGGCGCTACTGGCGCTGAAAAGCCACACCACGTCCTGATAAGGGCGGTAAGGGTGGGCGCGCACAGGATATCGATTCTACATGCGACTCTCCCTGCGGGCCTCGATCTTTTTTAATAAACCAACCTACCGTTACCACCAGCCATAATAAGATCGTCCCCCTCTACTGATCGTTGTAACAGTAGATATGAGCAGCCAATTGTAAATAAAAAAGCTTTGGTTATAGCGCGTGTTAGGGATCACCCTCACAAAAGAGGCAGGGCTGCAGTGTAGCGAAGGTTGATTTGACTATCTAGAAGTGAAGAATACAAGGAGGGGATTGGTGCGTTGCACCGGAGCCCTCGTGCAGGGTTTTCACCCAGGCGGTCGTGCACGGGCCCCCAGCCACCGTGGCTCAGCGACTCCCAAAGGCGCCACGCCACCACAGCGCGCCTGTTGATTTGTCATTGTACAGGCCTGCAGAACGACCGCAGGTAATCCTACCAAGTAAACCTTAAAATTGAAGATAGAGAGAGAGAGGGAGGGAGAGAGTATATTTAACGTCGGTGTCGTTTCCTAGCCGCTTGCGATTAGGGGGGGGGGGGGGGGGGGGGGGTCGGGGTCTACGTTAC